TTCAAGTTAACAAATATATTTTAACTTTATTTCAGTCGTTCATTGGGAATTCCAGGGCTGAAATTCCACATATGATTCTAATGAATGTGCAGTGGAACAGAGAAGAACTCAGCCTAAATATGCAGGGTTTGTGCGTTTAAACACGTGTGAACGAAACAAAACACAACTCCAGGTCTGTTTGTGACGAGGAAACATTAAACATTACAACATGGATCAGGAAATAGTGTGACATGGGCCCTTTAAAAACTAGAGGAACAAGCAACAAGTTCACAAGTTCACTATGTCCTGCTCGCTTAAAGTTCAGGAAATCCCTCCAAGTTGCCAAAAACGTGGAACACACACCGCAGATATTACAAGTTTAGAAAAATTTCTTGTGCTCATGATCGTGTTTCACAACAGGGTTCACATGAGTCACGGTAAAAATCACCAAATGTTCTGTTTTAGAATCTGATGACGTCAGATGGGGGGGGCGGAGTCACGGACAAGGTCGTACGGCTGCGTGATTATGGCAAAAATGTTTAAGCTCTAGTCACGTGACCGGAAGACTTTTGGAAAAATGCGGATGACGATTTGCGTTGTAGTTCCCGACACTTCGACAACAGCGTCTTCAGAACCTGCCAAAGCTTTAAAAAACAAATTATAATACACAAATTAATTTATAAAACGAAGAAAGAAAGAACACAATAACATTTAGATGAAGAAAACCGCGCTATTTTCTCAGTTTTCCAAGATTTTGTGAGAGTTATTATCGCCAACAGAGAAACCGTCATCCACATTTTTCCAAAACGTCTTCCGGTTTTTTGACGTAAACGTGAATAGAGCCCGTTCACGATGATAAAGTTCCCAGTTGAAATCGTGATAATTTCGAACTGTGACTTTTATAATATCAAAATTAACCCGTTGATACTGTGCAGATGATTCCCGGGGGTGTGACGTTAACTGGAAGCACTGCTCTGTAAGAAGCTCAGATCATCTCTTCAAGATAATCTGAGCTTCGTTTTGACACGATCTGACCAGAAAAGAGCCGATTTGTGGTGTTAAACAAGTTTCTCGTGCATAAAATTACAATCACAAGCTAAAAAAACAAAAAATCTAACAACAAAACTGGACCATGAACACTCGGACTGACCACAGGCTCCTGAAAATGTGTTGTTTAAATCCATTTTGTGTTTTTTTAATAGTAGTTTTCGCACGATCCTTAAACTTTATTGTTCGTGTTTGCTTTGTGTCACCATAGAAACAGCTGAACAGTCCGCCAATAGACGTCACTGTATACGCCCCCGGCCCGATGTCACTGCAAAGTATCAATACAGAAAATACAGAACCTAAACAACAATTTAAAACATGATTCACTTCGCAGCCCCATGAGGTATTTTTGTAAATCAGGGGCGTTACCTTCAACATGTTCACTCCGGATTAGCGTTTTAGTTGCTCATGACTCACGAGCCGTTTCTCATTTCTCTTTCCTCGCTTCCTTCGCCTGGATCCCTCTCCTCGATCCTTCATTTTTCAGCTGTCAGTCAAACGTGTCATATTAAGTATTAAGAGTAAACCTGAGGGAAGCTTCAGGAGACAGACGTCAGATAAAAGAATCAAACGTTATTAGTCTCGGAGAATAAGTTTAGATCCTCTCTCCTCGCTGTGCAGAGGCGGCGCTACCATGAGGCAACAATAGACAGAAGAACCTGGAGGGGCCCCCAACCGTTCGCCCTCAGTGCCACTAATGACCAAAGCCTCAGAGCAGTTTGATTTTCTCCCCAGTACGACATTAAGAAAACATCATCAAAATATTATCTGCTTGTCTGATCTAATAAAACTTCTTTCAGCTCTGGTTATCTAGTAGGCAACCTAACTAACAAGGCAGGCTTCCAATTTGGGGTCTGCAGGGGACAGAATTTTCAGTCCCACTCCCGCCTGCACTCGCAAAGAACTGTCATTTTCATTCCCTTTCCCGCCCGCATCTGCGATATTTTGTCCTGCAAGTTCGAGCTCTTTCAAACACAGAGATGTGGAAAGGAATTGTCTAAAATGGGCGCGAGACTAGACCACATTCGCAAGTTTATACTGCTTAAAATGTTTTTATTAATGCCAAATAAAAATATCCAACACAAATGATGTATGATAGGCAAACATGAATTATTTGTCTATTTTACTTTACACTAATATTTAGTTTGCGGGACTGCAGTTTATCATCCCACCCGCTCGCTCCGGCATCGTACAGTCCTGCTCCCGCCAAAATGTGTTGGGTCCCGCGCATGTATCAAGAGCAGTGTGGAAAAACAGACAATGAATATTAAAAACAAACAAACAAACAAACAAAAATGTACATTATAGTGAGGGCCCCAAACTCAATACACCTTGGGCCCCCAAATTGCCGACTCCACCGCTGTCTCTGTGTCTCCTCTGTGGGCGGGACTTCCTCACCCATTTCCTGCAGAATCAAGGCGAAGGAAGCGAGGAAAGAGAAATGAGACGCGGCCACGGTCTGAGTTCCAAATATGAAACTGGACTCCAAATTCGCCCCTGTATATGCCAACCTCGAATGAGCTTCATTTGGCTGGAACACTCCCTTATACACACATCAAGAATCTCCGACTTCCAGTCATTGCGCAATGCCATACTGGGAACGATTTTCCAAAAAGTGAGTATCAAACCGCCATGTTTGTTTTCCCAGTGGGATGTGTCTATTGACAAAGTCTGATCTTTTCAAGTCTTTTGAACCACATCACTTTTGTTTCTGGTTCTGATATTGTCATATTTTAGTTTTGGGATTCAGGCATCGTAATTGTGTAGTTGTTGTCGCTCCACATACAAAATGTTCGCTGCAAACTCGGGATGATTTAGGCAGCCAAAGGTTCCCTCTTTGGTTCTTCCTGTGGATCAATCCTGCCCATCACCTTCACCTTTCACTATTTTTCAATTCTGTTTGGAAGAGAAACAGTTTGAACAGAGGTTTGAGTCACCCACATCTGATTCCCTTTTGCATTTATGGAGTTCGCAAACAAATTTCTCGAGCCGTTTTCCGCTGTTGGGATCCAACAACCACACAATTACGATGTCCGAATCCCAAAACTAAAATATGACAATATCAGAACCAGAAACAAAAGCGATATGGTTCAAAAGACTTGAAAAGATCAGCTTTGTCAATAGACACATCCCACTGGGAAAACAAACACGGCGGTTTGATGCTCACTTTTTCTGAAAATCCTTCTCAGTATGCATAGCGCAATGACCGGAAGTCCGAGATTCTTGATGCGTTTATTCCTCATCTTTACACAGTCCGATACAGAAAGAAAATACTTTGAACCTAGTGCCTTTTTCTCGTGGATAGGCCCAGGAATTACAAACGTATTAAACTAAAGTTGCAGCGTTCAAAAAGTCACTGACCCCGCCCTCCATCTCACTTTTAACCACAGACCCCTTTGTTTTCTTATAACGATTCGGTTTCCATGCTTTTCCTCTCTGTCCCCATGGTAACCCGGCTCCTCCTCCTCCTCTTCTTCTTCTCCTCCTCTTCCTCCTCTTGCTGCTCTGTTGTGCTCATCCCTGGCTCTGGACTTCACTGTGGGACATTCGCCGGTGTGGAGTTAGCCGTCCTCTCTGTGGTAGCACGTGATTGGCTAATTCTCGTCGCTCTGAGCCGTGATTGGACAAAAAACCGCGAGAACTTTGTGCATCGTGTCAAACCTGTACATACGTGTATGTGTGTCCGAATATGGCGTAGAGTTTGTAAACAGTAAATACGAAGCCTGACGTGTAAATACTGGGGCGTTTGAGTATGTATTTCATGTGGAACTGTATTAAATTATATTTCTATATGCGGAAGTATCCCAGACTGAAGATATGAAATGCAACAGTTATGAATAAACCTGGTTGTTATGATTTCACCAGTGTCTGATTTTGTTTGTGGACAACAGCACCATCTGCTGGACAAAGTACGTACTGGTTTAAACTGAATATATACGTCACTACAGAGAAATATTGTGACTTTATGCCACTATCGCTAAGCAAAATAATCCTACTAAACCATTTTTAAATAGACAAAATCATTAAAAAGCTTGAGCTGCAACAAATGAACTGATAATTAGTCACAGAAGTTATTTATTCAACTCTTTACAGCTCAAATCTTACATTATTCCTTCCTCACCCATTCCTTTCAGAATAGTGTGTAGTGTGGTGAGCTCAAACACAACACGATGGAACCACATGAGCAGTGGAGAGGATCTAAACTGTGGCTTCTCTCTTGCTCTTTGAAAATGTCCATCACATCGTATCAACAGTCTCCTGTTATAGTGACTCACAAAACCACAATGAGTAAAAGTGGCCTTACAGGGCTGTTTTATCCCATTTCTAATTTCTAGCCCTTGTCCCTTGCCGCTTGAAACTGAGCAACAAGGGGCAGTGATTGAAAGTAAAACCCCTACGGACTGGACACCCCTTCAACGATCACATACATCGTCAATAGTCTCCACCAGCTCTTACATAAGCAGACGTGACAAGGTTTTGTCAGAAATCCAACATGCCGTCTGCAGCTGTGGTGGTCTCTCTTGTGCGGACTATTGGTATATTTTTACGGTTGCCTGCAGCTAACCGGAGAATTTGTATATAATAATATATAAGATTAATAACATATATAAATTTGTTTTTATTTTTTTATGTGCTTCTCACCTTCCACAGTGGTTGTTCTCTCCCTCTCATCCAGCTCAGGTCGTCTACCACAGGCCTGGGAGCTTGAGAGTTCTGCAGTATCTTTGCTGTTCCCAGTACCACATCTCTCTGGACTGGCCTCTGATAAATCTTTGTTTAATAACAGGAAGGGTAGGGGAAAGCGGTATGGCCAAGGGGTGTCATGGGATTCAGCCTTGAACTGATGGGATTTGCATGTTTTCTCAGGATGCTCATTGAGCTGGACTGAACCAGAAGCAGAAGCAGAAGCAGAAGCAGAGCACCACCTCCACACAGGACGCCTCCTGCACCTGAACCAGTCCAGAAACAACTGAGGTTTGAGATGGACATCCAAGGTCCACCTCAGGTCCACCTCAGGTCCACCTCAGGTCAGCATTTTGGCCTGTGTGGTGGCCCCATGACATCAGCTTATGTTTTATTTTATTTATTTATTTATTTTTTTTTTATTTGAGACAGGGACAGCGCACAATTTTCGCATTAACCTTGACAGGAGAGATGCACTGTACATCAGGTTGTAGCATCAGTGCTAATTTCCACCTGTCGTCCCTGGACAGGTTCATTGATTGATTGTATTTAACTGACCTTGACTATCAACTGTTCTGGAGACCTGTAGCATGTTTTGGGTTGCACTTTTTTGCACTTTGACCATTTCTTTCCTTTTTCTTTTTTGTTTTACGCATCTTCATCTGCCTCTTCCTCGAATTCGCCCTCCTCTTCGGCGGTGGCTTCCTGGTACTGCTGGTATTCGGACACCAGGTCATTCATGTTGCTCTCAGCCTCTGTAAACTCCATCTCATCCATGCCTTCACCTGTGTACCAGTGGAGGAAAGCTTTACGACGGAACATTGCGGTGACCTGCTCGGAGATGCGCTTGAACAGCTCCTGGATGGCTGTGCTGTTGCCGATGAAGGTTACGGCCATTTTCAAACCGCAAGGGGGGATGTCGCACACTGCGGTCTTCACATTATTGGGGATCCATTCGACAAAGTAGCTGCTTATTATTTTAGTGTCTTCATTTTGCATCTGAAGAGGTTCAAGTTCAACTCCAGGTATCAGCTGGAGCTTGAATTTCCCTCTGGATCAATAAATAATCTGTCTCTCTCTCTGCAGAAGATGAGCACAGTGGTAGTGGTGGTAATGGTATATTCCCTGTAGGGCAATTTACAAGTGTCTTGAACAACCTCTAAATTTGAATAAATTTGCATAAAATCTGGACCACCCTGTCAGTCACTCACCTTTTTGTTGAAAATCAAACTCCTAAACAGGACCATGAACACTTGTGTTAATCACAGACTTCCTGAAATGTTGTTATTAAATACAGTAGGACGTGTCGATATATTGTTATGGTGAAGTGTGTTGCTCTAAACAGAACCTGTAGCTCTGAAACACTGCACTTTTCTGTTTCCTGTTTCCTGTCAGTTTTCATGCTCCTCTTCTGCTGTTTGCTCGCTCTACCTCATTCTATTTACATCTGTTGTTTCTGCCTTGAAAAATGACGTTGAACTCTTGTTCACACAGTCACCACACGAGTGCAGTGTTGGTCTGTTGGTTTTATTCAGCTCACTTCAGCTCTCACACTTTTATTCTAACAGGTTTAACCGCTTTGTTTAAAGCAGTTGTAGCGCCCTCTGGTGGTTTTATAAATGTATTTCCAAGACAAGTCAAATGTAGTTTGAAGAGCTCAGAATAATATAGGAACTTTAAAACAAAACAGGTATAAGGCATTTAAAGGTGCAATGTGTAACTTTTTCCTTCTTCTTCCTTCTTCCTTGTTTCTATGGATGGTTGGATGTTACTGCTCTGCCTGAAATGTTCCACAGTATGAAATTAATCAGACCTACATTACATTTATTCAGTTACAGGTGGTTTTATAGCTCAGAATTACTTACAAAAACAGGCGTTGTGACTGTGAGCGGGGTCGCCTCTCCACAGATCTGACTTGTAGCTTGGTCTTGTCTGTGATGAAGATAGAAAGGTTCTGTGGCATCACCAGGTGTCTGCGGATGATGTCTATTTTGGTCCCTATGAAATCATTCTCGTTGAGGAAGGCTTTGAATTTAATCCATTCCTTTGTGGAGCCTGGGCACAGGTCTCTGTACGCGGCCTCTGACACTTCCCTGATCTTCTCTGTATCAGGCCCCTCACCTTCGTGTTCCATTTCGACATCTGTGACTTCAGCCGCTGAAACAGTTTGACGAAGATCAGACGTATTTTAGACGCCGGTTCACCTCAAGATGTGTTCTGTCTCACACTCACACTGAGGATGTCCAGGAGAGTCTTGGGGATTTGTGACAGGAGCAGTGAACTCCTCTGTTGAGGCGCTCTGGACCTGGGGCCGGGTCACAGTGCTGACCACTCTATGGATCTTATGAAAGGACCTTTTGACTGGATCTTGGACCTGATGCTCCTCCTAACTGAGCCACTCTTTCAGGCTGGTCATGAAGCCTGACACTTTACTTTCTGAGCAAATCTCCAGACTCTAAAAGAGCTGTTGGGGCTCATGTGGTTTACAATCACCTGTTAAAGGTCCTGGCTCACATCTTTGTGCTGCCTGTTGGAGATGTCCTGGGGCAAACCAATGATGTTCATTATGTCTTCTTATATACTTTAACTTCTTAGGTTCTTTTTAAAGACAATGCAGTAAAGTGTATTTACCTTGTTGACATGTTTCGGCTGCTAGCTGCAAGCCATCTTCAGAACTGTCACCGGTGTTGGTGGTGACGTGTCGTATATCAGCTGTTGTTACTTCCTGTAGGCGTGGTCAGACCTGATGGACCTGGCTGACCAAACAACAAGTTCAAACGCTGGATCAAGGAGGCCATTGAAATCAGGAAAGCGAGGCACGGACAGCATTAACCGTGATGACGGAGCGTTCCTCCTTTCACACACCTGGGACACCCTCCTCCAGAGACACCGGGCGACGGGAGGCGTGGTCAGTCTGAGCGACCTGCAGGTCCATCAGGTCTGACCACACCCACAGGAAGTAACAACAGCTGATATACGACACGTCACCACCAACACCGATGACAGTTCTGAAGATGCAGCAGCCGAAACATGTCAACAAGGTAAACACACTTTACTGCATTGTCTTTAAAAAGAACCCAAGAAGTTAATGTCCTGGGGCAGTCTCTCCTAGAAACTGTCCTCCTGGATGTCTGCAGACAACTGGACCAGCTTCTCAGAGGAGCAGAGGTGTCAACTATTTGGATATCAAATGTGCCCATTTCTTTTTCTTTTCAACATTCAACTGAACCAGCAACATTGGAACAAAATAAACAGTCAATAAAATAATTACAAAAAGATTAGAAATGATACAAAACATGTTTTAACATTTGAACATTTGTGATGAGACAGGTGGGCCTGTCTGTGTTTTTGTGGGGTGCAGGAGGAGACGCAGCAGCAGATCAGACGCAGGGTTCAGTCTGTTTTTGGGCTTTGTCTTCATTTTTGTGAGCACAGAAAATCTCACACATTTCTGTAGTAGTGAAAGGAATAAGCATAGAAACACTGTCCCTACTGAGAACAGGATATTCACTCACTCTCTCATGTGTCACATCTGTTTATGTATCACAGACCGACGTGCAGATCGTGACAAGGCGACCCCCCCCCCCAAAAAAAACCCTCTTACGACCCACCTGAAGGTCGTGACCCAGTCTTTGAGAAACAATGCTTTAGTCTTTCTACAAAAAACTCAAAATGCTCTGTTCTGCTCTGTAGTTTTCATGTTTGCTATGTTTTATCTTTTGTTTTGTAGAGATTGGAAATTCCAGAGCTGAAATCATCCCAATGAATGACCCTGGAGTTTAACTATTGTATGAGCACATGACATCACAAGGTCGAGTGTTTTCTATTTTAGAGAAGAACTCAGCCTAAACATGCAGGATTTGTGTGTTAAACCTGTGTGAATGAAACAAAACACCACTCCAGGTCTGTTTTGATGTGGAAATAAATTAAAAAACAGCGTAATATCGGCCTTTAACCACTAAGCCACCATTCCACTGTTCATATGCTCTATATATAATCATGTAAAAGTTTTGTCCATATTTGGATTTCCACGGCAGAAGTGAAACCTCCCTCCCCCCCGTGATATCAAACAGTTTGGTCTCCGCGGTGATTTAAATGTGAAATGTGAAATGTGTGATGTGTCGTTCCTCATTTTGCCCACAGAGGAGGGAAGTCCCCGGGTCCTGTGATCACCCCCGCGCAGCCCACACGATGGTACGACCCGCGGAGGGATTCCACCTTTCACTCTCATTTTTCACTCTATTTTTAGCTCAGGGGCAGACCACAAGTTTTGGCAAATATTAACGGTGCAGAAGATGAACCGCTGATTTTCCATGAGGAAGAGAAACTGAAAAATGAGGAGAAAGCAAATTCCAAACATGACCAAATCAAAATCCCCAAATCTTTAAATTGTAAGAAAATTGTGTGTAAATTGGATGGAATTTGACTCTGCACTGTGTCACTTTTTGGTTGAGGGTCTGTCACCAGTGTTGGGAAGGTGACTTTTAAAATGTAATCCCCTACAGATTACAGATTACATACCTCAAAATGTAGTTTGTAACATAATCCATTAAATTACTTAAAGTGAGTAATGTAATCTGAATACTTTGGATTACTTGATTTGCTGTAGAGAAGCAAAGACGAGGAAATCTTCACATAAGAAGTTTTGTCTGATAAAAGAAAATAAAAAGCCCAGACTTTATTTAACTGTATTAAAAATATTATTGATAGAAGACGAGGAGACACGGTCCACACAGCATGATTTAGTCCTGTTAAATCCTGTTTTAGTCCTGGTTTAGACCTGGTTTTAGTCCTGGTTTAGTTTTAGATGTAGTTTAGACCTGGTTTTTAGTCCTGATTTAGACCTGGTTTCAGTCCTGGTTTAGACTTGGTTAAAAGAAAGGGAAAAAAAAAAAAAAAGGATATAGCCCAAAATATGAAAACAGGAAAATCCCTCTGTGTAATCCACTTATTTCAACAAAGTAACTGTAATCCAATTACCACTCACTGAAACAGTAACTGTAACTGAATACAGTTACTCATAATTTGTACTCTGATACATGTACATAACTCTGGTACATGTAATCTGTTACTCCCCCAACACTGTCCGTCACCTGCTTGTTTCTATGGAGATGTAATTTCTCTGCTTGAAATGTTCCACAATATGACAGCTCTACCTGACGTTTATTCAATTACAGGTGGTTTAATAGCTCAAAAATCCCTAAAAACAGGCATTCTGACTGTGAGTGGGGTTGCCTCTCCACAGATCTGACCTGTAACTTGGTCTGGTTTGGTCTCCATGGAGGTCTCCATGGAGGTTTAATGCCATACTGCGAAACATTCCAGACAAAGCAATAAACATCTCCATGGAGAAAAGCACCAGAAAAGTTACACAATGTACCTGTAAAGTACAGAGGCCGTCTGATCACGTGCGAGAAAAAAGATACTAAATCGTGGCCTTAAATTATTATTTTGTTTTCACAATATGTAACTTGTTCCCATGTTTTAGCCAATTCGTTCACATCACTACGGAGTCAGTCCACTGGTCCAGCTGTACAAAGTAGAGATGCTGGATGACTTGTAACGTGCTCAGGATAAACCGTTCGTAAATTCAGAGTCTGGGTGGATTTCTCGTTCGTATAGAACAGGGGTGTCCAAACTTTTTTCATCAAGGGCCACAAATCTAAACACAGATGAAGCAGAGGGCCGATTGAGGGCCACAGACTGGTGCTCAATACAGAGAATAATTAAAATATGTGCATTTTTAACACGTTAGAAAGAGCCATCAGTTTTTATTCAGGCTAAGATCCTTAAAACCACACGCTAAATATTCAATATCAGCTTTATCAAGGTAGATTTTCAAAGAACTTGCAGTAAAAATAATTTTTATATATAAATTGATGCAAGGTCATTTGGGCCAATTCACCTAGACCTCTGAGGGCCGCATTTGGCCCCCAGGCCATAGATTGAACATGCCTGGTTTAGAGCCACAAACACCAGAACAAGAAAATCTTCACCGTGTCAACAGCGAATTATAAATATAAACACACCACAACAGGACTAAACCAGGACTGGACCAGGACTGGACCAGGATTACACCAGGACTGGACCAGGACTGGACCAGGATTACACCAGGACTGGACCAGGACTGGACCAGGACTAGACCAGGACTACACTAGGACTGGACCAGGACTACACCAGGACTACACCAGGACTACACCAGGACTACACCAGGACTAGACCATTCCCGGTGTAGTCCTGGTGACCGGCTCTGCGAATGCGGCGTATATATATTTATAATCCCTCCGTAACAGCGTAGGTTCAGTTCAGGT